CGGATAACTGATTTTATTACAAAATGATTTCAGCTGTTGGGTGTCATTAATTACTTTGTGATTTTTCACCTCTTATTTTTCAACGTAATAAACTGCTAAGAAAAGAAAAAAAAATTGAAGATTAACAAAACTTTTATTTCACTTTCGAAAAAAAGAGAAATAAAAAGTAGTTCAGCATAGAGATAAAAGTAAAAAAACTTCAGAAAATTAGTTTTATTATTTGAATTTTTTTAAAATTAATTTACAGATCCATAACAACAAGTGTCATATCTTTACTTTGTACCATATTTTTTATAACACTTTGTGTAAGATACTGATCTTATGCTTCACATCAGTCTTTTTTTCCCCTCAATGCATTTCAGTCATTGTTACACCATAAATTTATCTTAATGCATTTTGAAAAGTTAGTTATTTGCATTGGTTTCAGTCGTCAATTCGCCTTAAATTATCGATTTTGAAATTAGATGACATAAATGTTCCACTTAGTTGATATTATATGATAAGCCTTCACATCAACGCTATCTTCATCCTTTTTCGTATTCGGTTTGTTGCTATATATTATTATTGGTTAACTAATCAGCATGTCTTTACTACTGATGAACATTTTTCATCCACAACATCAGTCCTCATTATATACACAACCCAGTAATCCACTACATTTCACGTATCCCGTATCTTCACCATGGAATATCAAGCTTAAGTTTGTAGCCGAAGATTCGAAAAAAGTACATGAAACTAATACCCGGGTGAATTTCCTTCGAAAATGGAAATCACAAGCTATTAGCAGGAGGTCAAGACGGTTTGCCATAAGTGATATTTGGAAGCGAAAAATCTCACTCTCGTCTATTGAAAATGATGCCGTTCAATTTACTAGTGCTACAGCATTGGTGCGGAATTCCATTGTAATAGCAGTGTTTCCAATGAAATTACGACTTTTCTCCAAAACAGATATGATGACAGATGACTGTGATAGTATATCAGCTGATCATGTCAAGAAATCGATACTCTGTTCAGATAATGATGGTAAAATTGATGTGGCTACGGAGACAAAGCCTGCATTGTTTACTATCCAAAATACTACTGGCTTACTTTTTCCAAAACCCGGCCATTCATCAGTGGGCACCATGTGTCGGTTACCCAGCAGTACTACTGTTGAGTTAGCATCGATAGAGTCTTTGAACGAAACGTTTGAAGCAGTACTGGAGTCATTGCGATGTTCCTTGAAAAAGCATCAACCTCGAAATACGCCTTCCGGACGGACCATACTAACGCAGGGAGTTTCAGTAGCTGTTAGAAAATTCAATCCATTACATTCATATAAGAAGTTATCATTGAAACGTTTCAAAGATGAGCGTAATTTCGTGGACCAGAAGTTAAATACTTTTGTTAGAATTTCGAATTTGGGTTTGGGTCGAAAATTCGTCAAAGTATCTGATCTGAAATGTAGCAAATATTTCTATCAATCACATATATTGCACGAATGCCGGTTAATGAGTTTCCAGAGACCGAAGAAAAAGCCATTGCATGAATATTATAACGATGACGATGCGGAACTAGAAGGTTATTTCTCGAAAATTTCCGTATTCCATCATTTTAAATAAATGAGGGGAATGAAGTTGCATCAGAACTTTAGTCATTATGTGTTTAGAAATATGTTTCTTTAGTTCTTTTTATTTGAAGGAGGAATTATTGAAATTTTGCATTCAGGATTTCAGTAGTGGTATTTAATATTTATTTCTAACAATATTTATCAGAATTTCTAAGATGTAAAGATATGCGAGAAAATATGAAATTGCAGCATTAGCTAGGGTTGTTGATCCGTTGGCACCACGTCCAGAAGGTTCTATGATTTGTCCAGCACGTGGTGATCATGCATCCGTGTCCACAAGTTTACCACGTTCTATTGATTCCGCATTGCATAAGTATGGTACATCACAATCAAGAATGGTAGCCGCTGTTGTACTGGATCATTCTGCTCGGCCAGCTTATTCACTTACCTACGGTAAAGGTTCATTGGTAAAATCGGTAGGATAGGAAGAAATATTTTGAACAATATCTCAAAGAAAAATAAGTGACATAAACTTTCCACTCAGGGATTTTTATTTATTTTCAGGTAAACTCCTAAGTCGTGCTACAAAAGTTGCCTACATGCTGTTGACGAAACTTGTTTCTGGCGTAGTTAGTAAAGAAAAAGTTCAGTTATGTAAAAGTGGTGATCGAGTAGCTTTAGTAAGTACATTTAAACTAATGTTAATTGGCATTATGCCGATTTATTTTATTTGTTGCTTTGAAATTCACATGTATATTTTTGCAAATTTTTTAGGAGAATAGTGATCATTAAAATGAAGTTTGAAGAGGTTCCAATTTATGATAAACTTAATTTAAAATCGTCATTCTTCATAAATCGAATAATTTCGGATTGTATTTAAACTTCACAATACTAAGACATTTGTTCCTAAGAATATATGCTATTATCTTATTCATTATGCAGTATAATGAATAGGAGAATAGTGATCATTAAAATGAAGTTTGAAGATGTTGCAATTTTTTACAGGCTTAATTTAAAATCATCATTCTTTTTGTCCAGGTTTATCCGAATACGGAACCTCTTTCATTTTTGGTCGCTTTCTACGGGTGTATTCTAGCTGGAGTTATTCCAGTACCAGTCGAAGTGCCACTTACCAAACGCGTATATTGCTTCTTTCCTTTTGCGCATGTCATATTTTTGTTGATTATTGATACTTTTTGCTAGATAACACTAGCCTTATTTATCATTATCATATTCATCTGAGCAGTCATTTCGTTTTATCTTTTTTTTTCTCACTTTACTTAAATCATATTTTAAGTGCAGAGAGTGTATTATTATAGATTTTTTCAGGATGCAGGTATCCAACAGCTTGGTTTTTTGCTAGGAAGTTGTGGTGTGAAAGTAGCTCTTACGTCCGATGCATGTTATAAAGGCCTACCGAAACGTTCAGCAAGCAATCAGAATTATCCTAATTCTGGTGCTTCATTAATACTCGGTAGTGAAATTATTGATTTCAAGGGATGGCCACGACTTGTTTGGCTTACGACGGAACATTTGGTAAGGTTTTGTAGGATTTATTTGACTTACATAATTGCTTAAAAGTCTTGTTACGATTGTTTTCACTACTTTTAAGTTTTAAGTGTGCTTTGGTGAACTTTTAGCAAACTATGATTGGGATTTACTAGTGCAAGTGAATTACTGCTTAGAAACCCTTTCCTTTGGGTATCAGATTTTATAGAAGGTACATCAGCCTTTTAGTTTTACTGATGTCTAGTGTGTTCAGTTTGTGTTTGTATAGAAATTCACGAATAATCAAAAAATTCTTAGTTCTCACGTTGTAGTCATTATTGTGAGATCCTTAATAGCTTTGGAAACATTAACCTTTGTGTTTTGAAGAATTTTTGCACTAGTGACTTCACATACCAACGAAATTTATATGCTTATTTGAAAATTGATTTTCTAAATTCGAGAACTATTTTAAAGCTTAACTTATTGCATAAATAAAACAAATTATTGCTCAAAATTAAAAGTTGATTAATGAATTGTTAAAAAAGAGACAGAAATTTGAATATAGCTTATTTGATTTGACCATTTTGAGTATATAAATTTTTTTGATTTTTGATGAATATGACTGCTTTATGATGTTCCAAAATATCTGCATCCGTAGTGGTAATTTTGCATCGTACTCTTTTTTTCATATGCTTAATTTACAGTATTTTTTGCAGAGTAAGCCACCAAGAGATTGGTCAATACCACCGCGAGTCACTGATGATTCTGTAGCATACATAGAATATACTACGGATAAGGAGGGTAGTGTGAAAGGCGTATGCATAACTCGGCAGGCTTTACTTTCGCATTGCAGGTATGCTTAATTGGAGTACAGTACAAAATGAAT